TGAGGAGGAGGAGGGGAAGGAGGGAGAGGGGAGGAGGAGGAAGAGGGAGTGATGTGCTAAGATGTCTGACTTATTAAATTGGAACTTTAAGGATCGTTTTGCCTTGGACTCTGATTTAATTCTGCATGATACTTGGAACGCTGACACAAGGACCCTTACCACCCTAAGATTCTAGAATTCTGGACTTTGGATGGTGGGAGACGTCTCCCTCTCCAGCTGAGATCGATGGAGGAGACTCCCGTGGGGGCTCTGCAGAGGGGGTCGAGGGAGCCTCCAGTGGGAGAGAAATGCCTGGCAGAGCTTCAGCCGGACCTGTGGGGGCTCCATTTGGGGCACCTTGGAGCCAGACTCTTACTCACCTGGATGAACCGCATAGCAGGTGACGTTGGTTCCTTCCAACCGGTTGGCCAACTCTCTTGCGTGGAGAATGTTGGCTAGTTTGCTGTTGTTGTAGGATTGTCCACCCTTCATCAGCCACTTGTTCGGTTTGTTGGTGGACTGAAAGTCAATCTTCCCAAAGGTGTGCACACATGAGGACAGAATTACTATCCGGCTCGGGGCACAGCGTTTCAGCCGGTCGAGGAGCAGGTGGGTCAGCAGGAAGTGGGCCAAGTGGTTGACCTGGAAGGCCTGGTCAAAGCCATCAGCAGTTGGACCACCCTTATAGACCCCTGCCAAAAAAGTAAGCGGATTAGAAGTAGTCCTCGGTTTGAAACAGGTCACTTCGTAATCATTTAAAGTTGCAACGGATTGTCGGGGTTCTGAACGTGGCTCTAATTAAATCATGAGCCTCAAGCCAAGCTTCAAAAGAAACCCAGTTATTTATTAGGCGCTTCATGTGGCATGGACCAAGTGAAGCCAACTCTGGCCTCACTTCATTCGCGCCTTGGCTCTGACCGTATTGCCCCAAGGTGTGTCATCAGTCATATTCCCCAACAAAGCAATTTTCCAGGTTGTAGAAGTCCCTCCCTCCGGCCACTGTGGGTCTGCATGGAGATGACCTTGATGTTTCCGGCTGCTGAGAGGCTCAATTACCCATCCTCATACCTATGGCACCTCGAGAGCAGATCAGGAATGCTTCGCGAGTTGACACAGATACAGATAAGCCTAGAAAGCAGGAGGCTGTGAGATCAAATCTTGCCTTAAGCATGAATGTTGGTAATACACAATGTATGTACAATTACTGAAAGATATAAATGTTAATGGAACGTAATCTAAACATGTAGACATTAAATACTGTAACATGAGAGAAACTGTAAAGGGGAAACTGATCAGATTACAGCATTGTTCTAGCGATTGTAACATAGCTGATATGTTAACAAAACCTGTATCTGTGGAAAAGTATAAAGACCATGTCAAATCGTTTGGATTATCAGGTGTACAGCTTTAAATGGGAGGAGTGTCAGGTACTGAGCGTTTAATAGCTGCCAGCTGATGTAAGGTTGTAAGCTGTAAACTTTAAGCTGATGCAATGATTTAGCGATACAAGCATAACCTCTTTAAGACGCTGATGGGGTGCACACAAGTAATTTACCCTTTAAAGAGGTGTTTATATATAGGTGGCCATTAGAGGATGTTTCACTCTCTCGTCGTGTATCTCATTTCTCTCCTTGTGTCCATAGCTGAGTGGCAAGGGATGTTTCTTCCATGTGTACGTCTGTATATATGTACCATATTTTTCGGAGTCTAAGACGCACCAAGGTTTTGAAGAGGCAAATTTTTTAAAAAAGGTTTTGCACTCTGCGGACCTCCCAAAAATGGCCCATTTTTCACAAAAACGGGCCCGTTTTTTGTCAGAAAAAGGGCAT